CTCTCATATACAACATACATACGCTATCATAAATAAAGAAAAAAAGAAAACTTAATGACTCATTAATATAATCTTATTAAATTTTTAAAAGATGGGGCTGGTAGGTGGCATGATGGTTGGGGATGCTGGACTTTCACATGGCTGACCATGGATCGAGTCTCAGACCTGGTGGCTTGCTTGCTTTCTCTCTCTCTCCCTCTCTCTCTCTCTTGTTCTCGCTCTGTCCCTCTCTGGTCAAATTAAAAATAAATAAATAAAGTTAAATAAAATAATTATTTAAAAAATTTTAAAACACAAAATATAAAACCAACTTAAGAGGGCCAGCAGGTGGTATGGAGGTTAAGGCACTAGATTCTGACATAGCTGACAGCGCTTTGAATTCCAGATCTGGCAGCTTGTTTTCTCATGTTCCCTCTGTATCTTTCTCTCTCTCCTTCTCTCTCTGGTAAGCACATATGTCCTATAGCAAATGAAATAATAATAATTAAATTAAATTTACACATACCTGGCGTGAGTTTAAGCCACCGGGTCCAGGACTTGAACTGCAGTCGACTACATGGGAGTCCAACGACATAGCCACTATGCCAACTGCTGCTGGTCCCATTATTATTATTAAAATTAAATAAATAATTTGTTAAAAAAAAAAAAACTTAAGGCTTGTCATAGTACTAAAGAGATAAGACCACAAGTGTTTTCCAAAATGTTAAACTACCCAACCACGTAAGAATCTATCTTACAACGCTGGCCATTATAATCAGGATTGCATACATAAGAATTTTGCTGTTTTAAAGTAAATGTGATAACAGATAAGCTCATTCTTGGGGTCTTTTGGTTTCATTTTGGGTTTTTTTTTTTTTGAGAGGTTTTTTTTTCTGGGGGGGGTTTGTTTTTGTTTTTGTTTGTTTATTTGTTTTTTGCTATAGGGTGCATGCACTCGCCAGAAAGACAGAAAGACAGAAAGTGAGAAATCACCCCCCAGGGGGGATGGCCATGCCACAATCCCTTTACCTCCATTCTCATCTCAGGATCTTAGGCACGCGTGCACACGTGCCCGGTGTGAGTTTAAGCCACCGGATCCGGGACTTGAACCGCAGTCGACTACATGGGAGTCCAGCAACATCGCCATTACACCAACTGCTGGGTCCCGCTCATTCTTGGTTTCATAATTTTCAAGCAGAAGAGTCCTTTCCCAGCTTTAGACTGATCATAATACCAGAGCATGTGTGAATCTTTTTTAAGAAAGGAATGAAGTTCTTAATTTTTAAGATCTATTACACTCATTATTGAAATCTAATATTTATGAAAAAATTCAACTATCTAAATCTTATGGATAAATTACCAATAACAAATGTTTGGTTGTTCAAGATAATGAACATCCAGGCATACACAATACACTGGCTCCAGGAAGGCAGTATGATTATGATAAGACCTTGGAAAAGATACTATAATATTTTCTACATTAACTGCTCCATGAAAAGTAGAACAGCACTCCACCTTAGAATTCACTTTATCACCATTATCACACCAACTGCTAGGATCATCTTTCCTTTCCTACAGAGACTAACTATTCACTCATTCATTCATCGCATGCTTATTAAGCACCTCAATCAAAAGTCTCATAGCACAAAACCATTCTGAACAAGCGAGACCGCTTCTAGAGTGAAGCAGCCCCATCTGGAGCTGCATATACAAAAGCTTCATGTAGCTCCACACAGCATTTACAAGCAGGAGCTTTGGGCAAAAGCTTTGAGGTCAGTTGTCCAGCGTTTATATCCTGGGCCAGCCACTAACCTTGTGAGTCTCAGTTTCCTTATTTAGAAACATGGGATCATTATTTCTGCCCCATACAATTTCTGTGAAGATGTAAAGAAATCTAGAAAGCCCTTCACATAGAGCTGGACAAATATTATTCATTAAATGGCATTTCATTATTATAACTACAGTAAAATGGTTCTAGTTATCATGAACTCAAAAGTATACATTAAACAATTTCTTGATTATAGACATTATAACATTTAAAAGTTGCCCAAAATTTAGTCCCACTAAAAAATGCTTGGGGTAGACTAAATGTGAAAATAATAAGAAGAAAAATCACTTCAAACTAATATTTTCAAGAAACAAGATTTTTAAAAAATACATGGAGCTATACTTAAAAACGACCTGTAAGGGAGAGCCCTATCCTATTACAGAAATACTGACAGTGGGGTCAGGAAGTGGCATGTAGGTGAAGGCGCTGGATTCCACATACGTGACTGAATGACCAGTTTTAGACCTGACAGCTTAAAAATCATGCCAGGCATGTGTGTAGGTGCTCAAAATCCCCAGAGAAAGATAAAGGAGAACAACGGGACCAGCAGATGGCATAATGTTACATCACTGGACTCCCATTTAGTCGACTGCGTTTTGAGTCCTGGACCTGGCGGCTT